TTTTTTTGATACCACGTATGGTGCAACGGTATCATCTGTTGGCAATACATTCCATTGTGTCTTGGGCATGCATTCTAGAATACGATGCGGCCTCAGAGCCCGCTAAGTCGATTTAATTGATATGTGATACTCGTACTGGGGGACTGTCAAATCACTAGACTCTAGTGGACCGTATTAACAAATCCGTCAAAAGAACACAACTTTCACTACGTATCGTTTGAGTATTTTTTGAAAGCACCCCTATTTCAACTTTACAAGGCAACATTTAGTGTCTATTTTACTATATCAAAGGCAAATTGAAATGTTTCAACATAACCCACATAAATTTAGTAAAAACTCAATCAGAAATCATTCTGGATACATGAAACATATACATTCTTGAAATTTAAAAGAAAAGCACATAACTATGAGTTAAAAACATAATGCAAAAGATGAATTAGAATCAAAATAAGTCAAATATAGAAATTATATAGAAATGATCATTAGCTAATCTTAAATCTAATTTTGATGTAACAAATTGAAGTTTAAAAAACATATATACAAAAGATTGCGAACTAAAATCGAAACATAGATATTTGAAAAACAATACAAAAGTTAGAGAATATTTATTTAACATGCGTCATATATTCAATATACATAATGATACAATAAATAAAATAAATATTGTAAATATGGAAATAATTTATTTTATTTAAATTTATTAATCGCACAAACATTTTTATCCTAACTTATTGTGCACCCATGGATGTTGTTCACCATTGGAGGAATTGGAGATATTTGCTAATCCCCCGTGTAAAACCCACAATTAGAATTTTGTCCTCTACCAGCGACACAGGCAGAAGTACTGTCGCGAGTACTATCATTACCACCCTGGCCGCCGCGTTAGTTTCTTCGCTAATTTATCAGAAAAACACAACTTTCACTATGTCGATCGTTTGGGTATTCTTCGAGAGAACCTCTAGTCACTTTTTTCAACTTTTCAATACAATAATTAATGAATATTCACTTTTTACATCTTTTTAATACAATAATTGATAAATATTTGCAATGATTTGCACTATTTCAACATATTTTCGAACATATTTCGACACCGGAGATCATGTCGGTTGGTATCAATTTACTATGACATATGTAAAAATACTTGATTGTAGGTTAAGGATTTTTATGTCAAACAAATAAATGAGATTCAATTGAATAAATTATTATATTTTAATCATTTCCATAAAAAAATTAGGTTTTAAATGTTGGTCACGCCTTCGCCGATAGGCCACGCCCACGAAACTGTCAAATACTGAGCCTGCCAGTTGTGAGTCTGTCAGTTATATACTCGTAAAAACTGAACTATTATGTTAACCCAAGGCACTGAAAAGTAAAGTAATTTGAATTTTATCTTATATACGCTCTATCGTATGTTACCTATATCCACAAATAATTAGGAGAAAATAATACAAATGATATAATTTAAGAACACTACTCACACAAAAATGAAATAAACCTGATCTAACCTTTACCTATTTCAGCAACAAAATGAATAAACATACAGATTGAGAAGCCGGAAAATTAACAATGATTACAACATGAAAAACGTGATATTTCTATGCGCGAACCCCAATTATGTTCGACAGACTTGACATTTACACACCTAACTTCACAGCGTTGTTATCGCTACTGTCTGTTGATACTTCTCTCTTCATGCTGGTTTTATTTTCATATAGGTTATATTTTATCCACATGTACCGCATTACTTCTTTAGTGGCACAAGTGTAATTGTTTGTTTTTAATCCGAGAATATATGAAATTAATAAACGTAAAAATGTCGCTGATTTGTCTAAGAGAAGTATGCAACAAATTGTAAAGCAAAAGGATGATGATTTTCAAAAGTTTGTGAATGGAATCGCGAGGACAATACTGCTTTTTCTTCAACTAGTGGTACAAGGGTACTAGTTTAGTTCGTCAATTGAAAATCGGGTCTCGTAATGCATTATTCTTAAAAAGCTTTTTTGGAGTTATTCTTAGTGACCTAGTAGTTAGGTACCTGCATATGAATTATTATGGGTTTATGAAATAAAATAAAATAAAATAAGAAAATGTACGAAAAACATAACCTGAAAAATGGTAACTATCTAGTAAATTATATTTAATTTAAATAATATTGTATCTTGTGTTTTTCTTTGGTAGAGTTTTGCATGGCAATCCATCACATAAAAGTATAATTCGTGTTCCAGAAAATCGAGAAAATGGTGAGCGATTGGCTTTTTTTTTATTAATTTATAAATATACTTACATGTGCCACTACTTGAGCTTACAGATACTCTCGGATATTAAATAGTTTAGTTGTATATGCTACTATTTAAACATACATAATTTTATTTGTTTATGAGTTTCTTGTTGAACAAAAATTAATCTTTAAGATCTGCGCATCATTTCAAGTACAAAAAACTATTAAATTAAGTATTGTATTGTTGATGTAAAGTGTCGGTAGTTTTTTTTTAATTATGTGTTTTTTTATATATATAATATGTGTCGTCTTTGAATATATAAAATTTGTTCAAATGTATAAGGTTTGGATAGAAATTTTAATTGCTGAATGCTAACAAAACAAATATTAAATAACAGGAGAAAAATAAAATTATGGTGATAGTAGTGTTATAAATGAAATAATATGATAATAATGAAAAATTACGTTGATGAAACCAAATATAATGGGCTATTGAATTAAAGTAAAAACGCTGTTATAATTTATATTAAAGCAGTTAAGAAAAGAATTTATAGATATAATTATCTTAATTTATCAACGATAGATCGTGAAAGTGGGTTAATACTAATAACGACTGATAATATCATGATATCAAATTGCTATTTTATAGCCTCCACATGAGGAACAAATAAGTATTATTGGAAGTGAAACAATTTAAATATTTAGTCATATTATTTCATTGCGAAACAAAGTCTTAATGTGATATAAAGCTAATGATGCATAGTTTTGCTTCTACATGAAATAACATGAGTCTAAAACATGTTATGAAAGGAGTCTAACTTGGCCCAGACAAATATGTACATAATATGAGAAGTTCATGATAATATACGATATTTGTACAATTTACAACAATATATGTATATAATAATTATGATTCAAATATCAAATGAGATGGGATCAGAACATTAATCTTGGGATTTTTAAAATTTTGGACTATTCGTTTAGAATACCCAGATTCAGATGCGATAATGCCCAGAGGAAATGGATTTTTAATGATCATTGTGATACTACCAATACTAATAATTTGATTGCTATGCTGACGACTGTCTTGAAACATCTGTCTTGTAGGAAATTTTTCGAAACTTTCAGTCTAGTAGACCTTCAAATTTATCTTACTGATTGTGAAATTAGTTTTCGACCAAATAGAAAGAGCATGGGCATTAGAGATTATCGATTTTCATATAATTACACAACGTGTTAAATTAAAATGGTAGTCTTAGTTTAGTCAAAGACTTTCAAATCAGTGACAATCACAATCAAAGACAAACGAAGATATTTTAATACTTGCAGAAATAACTCAGTCGTGAATATTGATTTGCTAAGTTATGATGACAAAATCGTGGAACCTTCATCTGACTTACCTGATCTCTGGGACAAGTTATTTCCAATCTTCCACAAATTATTTATTGGTTTAACATACATCACTAAATTTGTGAAGTCATATGATGGAAATGGAGACATGAGATGCAGCATGGATATTATAAAAATACAAAGTGAAGCTGAATAAAATCGATCTCGTACTTATTTCACGATATTTAAAACCGATATTAACAGTTTGTATTCACAATTGCAAATGTTGAGGAAATTTTGGAGGATAATTAATTACTATTTACCCAAGCAATAAAATACATTTAACTAATTTTTAATATTATAACAGGCAACACATCATGAAATGCTTAAAATGTAATAGTATTGTCTTTGTTTTTGACCAATATTTCTAATTGGAAAACAAGACACTCAAAAACATATCAACAATACATACAAATTAATATATCGATGTGGTAATTTGAATGTAAAATTATATAAATCAATTTAATAATATAATTAAAATAATTATATATAATAATATAAAAGCACATATATCTTTGGTATATATAGGTAAAACAAAGTATTTTTTCTTATAATTATACATTCACATGTTTCTACTTACCACCATATTTTTTATATACACATATTTTGCGCGGCATAAAATTTATTTTTGAGCATACAAGATACTGCACATTTTGTAGTAGGTGAAGTTCCTATTTGATATTATTATATGTATTAGAAACAAAAATACTTTATCGATGTTTTACATTCCATTTTTTTGTAATATTTTAATATTAGATTTATTTTCTTTTTATGTTGATGTTATTTTTAATATCTGAACGATTTATAAATACCACTTTACCAGCAAGTGCACTACTTTTATTTCAGTTTCATCATTCACTTGGTATAATTTCATAAATTTTTTAAGTTACATATATCAAGTTATGTTTATCGCACAAAAAATTTTATGGTTTAAATAAAAAGAACTTTTCCACGAAACTGCTGATCGGTACCCAGACAACACAAGACATCCTGGAAAACGTCCACAGGATATCCACGCGCGGACATTCATTGTCCCTGCGATAGCCTTACGGATATCCCGCTTATCCTGATCTTATCCGAAACATGTTAATATGTCGCACCTATGGGACGTTCTGTAGGATATCCCGCGCGGGATATTCCGGACATAAACCGGACATGAATAGGAGATAATTATGGAATTGTTTTTTACTTTTTAGATAATAATTATAATTAAATAAATTAAATAAATGAATTAAAAGAACAGAATTTTACACAAGTAAATTTTATTAATCCTGAAATAATTTTATTACAAAATAACGAAATTGAATATAACAATGTTATTTCTAAATAAAATTTTATTAAAACAGATTAAATTAAATTTTATTAAATATAATAAATTTGGAAATCAGTCCAATCAGTCCATGTTAGATGGTTGATTGCCCCTCCTGAAATAGAAGAAAAATTAATTATATTTTTATATATATATAATATATATATATATATATATATAATATATATATATATATACATACATATATATATATACATATATATATATATATATATATATATATATACACACACATATATATATATATATACATACACATATATATATATACATATATATATATATATATATATATATATATATATATATATATACACACACTATATATATACACACACATATATATATATATATATATATATATATATATATACATATATATATATATAAAATTAATAATACACATCTCACAAACATACCTTGTATACCATTCACTGGCATGCCTCAGCCAGCTTTTTGTAGCCTCTGAGATGGCAAACTTGGTTTCATTAGGTAAGTTCTTTAGAACAGTTTCTGAAATTATTCATATATGTAAGTTTTATACATAATTTACAACATATCATAAACATAGGAACTATAAATTACCATTGATGATATCGCACAGCACAAGCTCGCAATACTTGTGCTTTCCTTTACCCCCTGCCCAGCTGAACTCTCTAGCCAGGCCATCATCAAATATCAATTTAATCAATTGTACTGTGACAGATTTAGCACATTTTCCACCTGTCCTAGCCAAATACAAAATCTAAAAATAAATACTAGTTTATAATAAAGCTAACTAATAAACATAAATTTGGGTGAACTTGTGATTACCAGTTGTGTTTTCACATCCTTGTTGTTTCTTAGACTATCCTCCACTTCTCGAAGTTCGTCCATTGAGCACAGAGGAAACTTGTTTAAAATTTCCTTGATTTGGCCCATGTCACTACTCATGACAGCCTTAGGAGACTGGAAGGAATCCATTCTCAACATCATTTCCTTCACTTGCTCCTCAAGGCCCTCCATGGTTAATCGAACTTTAGTCATCTCCCTGATGAAAATTTTCCTCGCCAATTGAATCTAGCAATTATTATCTCTGTTCCGTCCAATTTGTCTGCAGCTTTTTTTCTGGAGAAGTAATCAATGTCTCCAAATCATTATTCATGTTTTCAATTGGCTGTTCTGCACATATATTTATTCTTGTGCAACTTTCCTGTAGATTTGCAGAATCAGTAATAGCTGTTGCCTGGATATTAGCCTTTACATAGTAATTCACACGCCTTTGAAACTGCCTCTTTGAAATAAATCTAACACTTTTGAATACTTTTTTTGGCGCCATATTATATTAGAAGTTTTAAAATACTATATATTTTAGTGTGAACTCAAATTATAACTCTTAGATAGAGAACTAAACTGATAAAAATGTAAATTTATTTTTTTTCAAGTATGATATAATAATGTTTAGGTCTTTTGGCTGGTCAATATTAATTATTTATTACACACTCAAATATACATTAATTATATAAAACACATGCAATTTCCACTATTATTAATCAAGTTTAGAGCATTTGGATTTTCAATATTATTTATTAATAACACCACATATATATTTAAACAGAACAAATGAAATTTTCACTAATAATACTCAATTACGCAACAACTATAAAAGAATTCGACATATGGCGTCAGTAGCTTAATTGATGACGCCAAGCGACGCGACGGCGAAGAGAAAGGGACAAACATATACGTTTAGAGGTCTCAAGCCGTGCGCGTATGAGATCGACATGTCGTGAACCGTTCGTTATACCTGCTCGAGTCCTTTGGTTTTGAGACGTCCCCTTGCATATTCATAGGATATTCATAGGATATCGCGATATTAGGAGATTGTGAGGACAAGTGGGACATTCCCTGGCATGTCTTGTGCTGTCTGGGTATATATTAAATTCACAGCTAGTCATATTTATGTTAAACTCTATTTGAAGAGAGTGTACCAATTCAATGTAAGTTTCCTCTAAGCGGATTTTTAAATCTTCAAATAGAGTTTAACAAATGCAATCAGGGACAAAACGGGACTGTAAAGAACTTTGCTTTTAGGCTACAAATGATTGTTTTGTGATTTGCATAGCCCTACCTTTTAGTTTAACTTGTAATTCCGTGTCGAAATTTAAAACCTTTTTATGTTCTACAGCGCCTTCCCCAAAACGCGGTAAAAAATAAAAAAAAACTATGTATTAAGTTTTAACGCCATATAAGTGCAAGACCCTTCCCAGGGCATTTAGGACATGCTTAGAGCAGATTTAGTAACCTAAAGTTCGTAAAAAGGTTTTAGATTTTAAGAACTTAAAGCGTCTTTATACGTCAAAATACTGAGGTGTAATTTTAGGTTAGGTAAAATCTTGGGAGCAACGAAGGGCGAACAATAAACACGACGAAATAATAAACACAAACAAGATAGAGCTTATGCCGCTAAGCGATGAATAATGCTTCGTTCGATCATTTTCGTCATATTTCGGCCTCACTTCGTAGTTAAGTTGTCTCTATTGGTCTATCTCTATATGTTCAACGAGTACGTTAAATATAAAGCTTTCCACTGGTAATTTTTGTTATTTGAGCTTTTGGGCTGTTATATATATTAATTAATGAATAATTTAAGCTGTAAAATGGTACCACACAATGGGTTTTGCCATTTGCATCGAAAACATATAGAGAGACTGTGGAGAGGAGTTTGTATGTTATTATGACTAGCTAAAAGAACATTATTGCCAGAATTGAGTTGGCTAGTTGATGGTGAAGAAGAACTATTTTCATCATGAATTATAAAGTGTTGTGGGGCTCTTTACATCTACAGCAAGTACCTTTAAAACTACACCTCTTAGCATCATGTGCAGGAAGTAAACGAGTGCACAGTGAATGCTTTAACACCAGATCCTTACGTCCTGAAATCTCCAACTCCTTAAACTTGGAACATTTGTACAATGGATGACTTTCTTTGGAACAACAACATGGAGGCACTACCTTTTTCACCGTACTAACATGAACGATTTTAGAATTTCCCTGAATGGGTCTACTTTCTACTTTGAATGAGTTCTCTAAGGCACAGACCCTCAGCTCCAGAAAGGAAAAAAAAAATCATTTACCGTTGGAAGAACAAATTCCATGCCATGCGAGTATGGCTGTCAACCTTCTTATTCAGCATATACAACAGAATAAGATCCCAATGCTTGGTAGCTTCATATTCTGCTGAAAGAGCACGTATTTGTTGCCTCACACTGCACAGAAAATTGCTCAGAGTTTCATGTGTTCCTTTGTGTATCTGTGGTATACTGTCGATCTGCCGCAAATGGGAATTTAGTATTAAAAATTTATTGTCATAAGTCCTACACAGTGTCTCATAGGCCACAGTGTAATTCTCATTTGTTGAACTTAAAGATGATATTAGTTTTGCAGCAGATGATAGTAGAGCTCCCTTTAGATAGTGCAACTTTTCGACTTCCAGCAACTTGGTGTTATTGTGTATTAACGAGTTACAAAGATCTATAAATTGGGCCCACTCACTATAATCACTGTTGAACTTGGGTAATGTGATCTCTGGTAACTTTACATCTAAGGCTGGACTTGAATCTGCCGACCTAGACAGTGACGGGGTACCAATATTCGTAAGAGCATCTAAACGTGACATAATGTCTAAATACCTTTCAGAGTACTCTAAGTACTCCTTTTAATGTTCTCCAGACTGAGCCTTAGATTACCTCTAACCTCTCGTCTCTAGAGACCTCTAACTCTATGTAATTCACTTCCCACTGATGACACAGCTCTACTAACCTCTGTTTTCGTCTTTTTAATGCTTCAGTATTGGAATCATTTTGACCCGAGGTAACAAATTCAAAAATGGTGTCAAAATGAGTTTTTAATGTTCTATGTTTTACGATTAATGAATTTAAATCAGCCTAATGTTTTAATAGATAAATATATATGCTAACACAGCAAGTCACAAGCAAATAACTTCCAATACTAAATATAGTTTGCTAAATCGTTAATGACTTTTTATGATATCACAATATAGTTTTGTGAAAAATAAATATATTTCGTATAAAATAATACCGAAAATTTATATAATGTGCCCAATTACTCTGTGACATTAACAATATACGAATGTAATCAGTAACACTTTATGCTAAATAACACGTACATTAATTATACTATTTGTACCTAACCTTACAAGTTACAAATGTCTTGAATACCGCTTTCACGCCACGTGGTTTTCGGCTAGGATAATCCGCTATCCCGCTATGGACTCCCGTGCTCCGAACCCTTGTGTGATAGTGTCTTGTGTTGTTATTATATAAGGTGTGAGATGACCTTACAACACGTGCCCCACTTGCCTCTAGACTGCTTCTGTGCCTGGTGTTTAGCGGCCTGGACAGGATAACATCTACTGGTATTATTGGCTTTGATGCTCCAATCCTCAGATGACCCCCAGTAACACGATGACCACGAGTAACAGCGATGACAAACTCAGAAGCCTCGTGCGCCTAACCTCTTCTCAAATGAAATCTGCGTGCATCCACTCAATTCACCAATAATAAATATTGCTGCTCTATTGTTGAGCTTGAGCGTATTCAATTCTTGTTTTTAGCGTGGATAGTTTTAAGTTTCAACCATTTATGAAACTTTTTATCCACTTTCTTCACGACGAAATCGGTGTTCTATATTAGCACTGATTTTATTAATATTATCCGTGATGAAGGACCAAACTTTATGGCATAAAAGAAACACACGAAGAAATTATATGCAGAATTTATTGAACACACAGAAATAATAATTCTACATTAGCGACTTGTTGTTTGTTGCAACAATCCTAGCATAAGACACTCTCCTAGTAGTGGGAAAGGCCGTTATAGAGCGGCGCGAAATTTGAATACAAAATTTAATCGTCCAATAATTTATAGCAAAATGTATTGAAAAAAAGTAATATTAGTCTGAAAATAGACAAACATTTTCAAAATGATTAAGATAATATTAAAAATAATTAAAATAGTCTAAAATTAGAATATAAAACAAATATTAATAGAAAATAATAATCTTAATCTATAAAAATTTATAATTTATCAATGTGGACTTTTACTTACCTCTAGCTTCGCAACATAGTATGATTTACAGCTGAGTCTGAGTTATGCTCAAAAGGTTGAATTAAAAATTTATATTTACTAAAATAGTCGTCATAAGGATTGTTTAGAAATTTGAGGATTGGGATTAGAAGGTTTGTTTAAAATCTTTCTAAAATAGGCTGAAATTTGAAAATATGACAATGACTATTTAAAACTTCATTAGATTCATCATAATTAGAATTTAGAGGTTTGATTGTATTTTTAGAAATAGAATTTTGTACTGAATATGAATTATTGGATTTGGGTTTTGGATTTAGGGTGGCAAAGGATTGAAAATGTAAAGGAATTAATAATTTCGATTTTTAAAAAAAATGGAAAAAAAAGTTTTTATAAAACCGTGAGTTTTCTGAAAATAGTTTGTACTAAAGTAGTGAATCTACTAGAATCCATCAAGATGTCTATAATGAAGTGAATTCTAGATGGAATGTGAATTACTTTCATTCTGGTGGAAATGGCGCTCATTAAACCATATGATTTAAAAGAAAACTAGCTGTAAGTGGAATTCTGTCTTAAGGCAATTAAGGCATCGTGCCTTAAGGCAAATTGCTTGAACTTCCCGTACCAAAAATTATTATTTTTTTAAAAACGATTAACATTTTTGAAGAAAATTTACTTTGAAAAAATAAGATTTTTGAGAAACTATAAATTGGACAAAAAATTACTTTTTTTTGAAAAAAAAAAATTTTTTTTAAAAAAAAAATTTTTTAATTTTTTTTTTTGAAAAAAAAATTATTTTCTTTATTTTGACATATTGTGGAAGATCTGAACTTTCTTTTCAAAGCAATCGTACTGCTTTAACTGCATAGAGACAAAATATAAAGCGCGTAAGCCCCGCGTCGCTGTCTAACGCATAAGCATTGGTACGGAACCCATAGGAATGTTAACAAAACGTATGCTTATTGTTAAAATCTCTATAAAATATCTGATAATTTGATGTGCATATGTCTAATGATCATTTTTGACCGCCAAATGGCTCATTTTTTTTACTTTTTCTTCCATATCTCCGAAACCGCTAGACCTACCTCCATAAAATTTTTATCGATTCTTCATCTTGTCAATACAAGTGAAATGTTTTTTGAATTATTCAAATCGGACGCTCCGTTCTCTTAAAAACTGAGTTACCGTTTTCGGCACTTTTTGCCCCGTATCTCAGGAACGGCTAGACCTGCCTTCGCCAAAAACTAATCAGCACGTCTCCTTATCAATACGAGTCGAATGTTTTTTGAATTATTCAAATCGGTTGATTCGTGTTCCCGAAATCGTCGACGAAAATTTGTATCCGCACATACATACACACACGTACATACATACACACACACACACACACACACACACACACACACACACACATACATCCATTTTTTCTAAGGTAGGCCAAAATGCTCAAAAACCTCTGAAACGTAAAGATATATAAAAATTTTCATTTTTGATTTTTTTGCGATTACTATAACTTGCCCTACGGGAAGTTAAAAACTTCGTATATGCCTTCTTATTTGCATGATAGCTCACTTATTTTACACGCAAAAAACTTGTAACAGCACTCATTTTAAAGCTTATGTTGAGCACTATAAAACCCAATTTCACCGAAATGCATAAAATGTAAAACCTCGACACTAGATGGCTTTAAATACAACAATTAAATCTTGAACGAAATAAAAAACGACTTTGCTCTTTCAAATCTTGCTTAATATTTTTCCTAGAACACTTTATGTAATACCGATTTATTAAGATTTTTATTGACATTATTTTGTTCATTACATGAATTTCGTTAAAATGTATAATTTAGGAGATATTTGCAAAAAGACGAAGAAAAACGCCAAAAATATATGAATCTTTAGTGGCCAGTAACTTGAAAAGTATTAGTTTTTTTGAAAAACTATAGAAGATATTTTTTTATTATAATTAGCTCTTCTATCGATTTCCGACGTTATTTTAAAAAAATGTAATTACACAATTGAGAAGGGGGGTCATCCCCCCGGGGGGTGATGGCGCAACCCGAATTGTTTTCACTTTTGAATTTGAGAGTAAGATGAACCTAATTCCAAAATTTTATGAAATTCGGAGCACAGTAAAAAAATTCAGAGGTTATACCCTTTTTTCCTCTCCGTTTACTGCACTAGTGGTATTAATAAATTTATGCATACCATCATACCAATATATCAAGTAATGTATATTATATTTAATTTTTCTCTAGGATCATAATCTTAAGTAAATGCTGTCACAGTATATAGTAATAATCATATTTAGTCTAAAACTGCTTAAATGCAATATCAAAAGTTTTATTTATGCAGGGTATCGTAATATACAACTGTTGTCTTCGAAAAATGTCTTGTCATATCAAAATTTGAAGAACTATCTATATATATCTACTATAAATATTGCTTTAATGTGTGTAAATGAATTTGTTCAATTTCTGCTCGAGAATTCCTCTTCATTTAAAATCATTTTAATCTCTATTAATATATCATAAACTTGCGCCTGTCTTTCTCTATTTCTGATTTTTGCAGCCTATGCTCTTTTCTAATTCCTGGGCACATGCCATTAACACAATAATTTGTTTTCTGGTGACCCCATAACGTGTGACCAGCAATTGAAATATGCCGGAGCATCATCTGTCATAAAAGTTTTTGCCTTTATTTTTCCTATCGCCTCAGAAATTTGCTGAAAACAAATTTGAAAAAGTAATTCATCTTGTCTGTTTGAGAAACAAAAGGCAACAGGAATCCCACTCCTAAATTCATTAGTCACCAAAAGCATATGCAATTGAAAGCCATAACCGTTAGTCCCATCAACCGTTAGTCCCAATTCATTAGTCACCATCAACGCATATCTTGTCTGTACCAAATTCCAATAACATTTGCGCCTGCATGTTTGTCATAATGACAAGAATAAAGTCATCATTGCCAAGTCCATAATTACTTGTATTAAATTCTTTATAAAACACACTTTGAAGGTTTTCTTCTTAACCCAAGTAGTTACACTTGTTGAATAATTTTTATTTCTAAACGTATCGCATGGTGGTACAACTTTCCTTTTCATATTCCATATATCTTTCTTTGTAATCATGGAAGCTCTCAGTGGTAATTCTTTATTATAACAAGCTTCATGTATGTTGTTTATAATGAAGTCATCATCTACGCCAGCCTTAATTTATTCTGAAAAAAATATATTAAGAATAAAGAATTCACAAGAATTTCATACATGAAACTAAATAATCTTTAACTATACCTTTGATGTTATTTATCAAATTTTGGTTCAGACGCACATAATTTTTCAAATTTTTATGTCCCACATGTGTCTTCCAGTAATCAGCTTTAACATGTCCGTCATTATATATCTTGCATATGATTCGTGAGGGGGCAAGCATGTCCAATTTTTTTGGTATCCCTTGAAACTGTTTCTTTTGTTTGTTGTGTGCAACACCGATGGCATTATAATACAAGATGGTGCATTCATCTTTTGTTTTGTATGCTGTGGTGTCATTCTCATATGAGTTAATATCGTTCTGTTC